TGTTGAAATACAGCTATTTAGTGGTCGAAAACAGACATCTTTTTGGTGGCGTATTTTCCACTCCATACGTACATGGCGGCCTTCAATTTGGCTTCAAAGATGGCCGCCAAGTTATCGTTCCAGTTCCCTTAGAGTTCACTGGCATTAGACAGCATTGTGCCTGAATCAGTTAACAAAACACATTGCCTTAATTTGTCCAACATTGTTATTTTTAAGCCTGGTTTACACTAAAAGTTTCTGTGATCACAGTAGGAATTTTGATAAGAATTTACCCATGCAAAATTCCTACTGTGATCACAGAAACTTTGATAGTGTAACCAGACTTTAGTATCAGAGTCTATAATGCCCAACTGTTTTGGGGTAACTTCTTTTTATTTTTATTTTAGCATTGTGCCAACAGCATTTTTCTTCACAACATTAATCTTCGTGTGTTTCACGCTGAGTGCTTTGTGGGCTGAAGAACGCAGCTATCTTTACTTGGGAGGTTAGAAGCTAGCATGATCTTTTTCATATTCAGAGATCTATATCATGTCCAGAAATATTTTCATAAGCAGAAGAATAATTAGTACAGTGTTAAACATTGTTTATTTATTGTGTATCTCTTTCAGGTTTGCTTGGATCTGGAGTAACCATCTTGTTGGTCAGCTCTCTTGTCAACCTTTTCATGCGTTCTTATTTCCTCTACCAGGTGATGACTCTTTCATATCATTTCTCATTATCAGCATACCAGTAGTGGCATTTTTCTGCCTACCAAACGTACCCAACCTTAAATAGGCCACCTAATCACCTATATACCTACTTATCTTACCTACCTACCAAACTCAACTAACATTAACCTACCTCTGAGTGTGCAACCACATCGGGCAAGCTGAAGTGTGCTTGGCCACCGTGGCCAAGCAAACTGTTCAGCTTGCCCAGTGTGGATGTACACTCAGAGTAACATCACAAACATCATATTCACCTGAGTACATAACACCAACACACACAAATATGAACTTACCTATCTGTACTAATCTACCTAGTGTGTTACTAATAGGTACACCTGTATCTTGGTCTGGTCATATTCAGTGCATTCATTCTGTATGACACGCAGCTGATTGTGGAGAAATTCCGTCGTGGCGACAAAGATTATGTTTGGTAAGTTTACCGTTGTACCGCATACCATATTGCGACAGACTGTGGCTAGAAAGTACACCGGATTTGGGCATGTACTTGGAAATATATCCCATCTCTCATTCATGATTTTTTCTTGTATTTTTGCAGGCAATGTGTTGATTTGTTTATTGACTTCATCGCGGTCTTCAGACGAATCATGATCATTCTCGCACAAAACAAGGTAAGATTTCTTTTGTAACTTTATCTTTGATGGATATTGTATATTCTCCTATGTCATGTTTAATCAAGCTAAAATACGTTAACATTGGCGGTAAAATGTATATATGATTTTCAAACACATACCAGAACCTGGTCTGCCTGTAATTCAAGTACTTAGTGGACCGATGTATTGGCTATGAAAAATTAACCCAAAATGGAACAATTTTATTTCTTAGGAAAACAAGAGAAAGAAATAAATTCCTAATCAGGAATATTGCTCTTCACTCTTCAGTTCTTATATCAAGGCTGCTCAACCATTGTTTAAGTGTGTGTTGTTGTATTTAGTAAACAGTTGTTTATCACTCTAATGATGAAAGTTGGCTTTTAATTAATATTCTATGTAATGCTATTTGTAAAAATATATGAATTTGAAACTGTATGTATCGTTCAATAAAAACAATGTCAAAGTATTAAGTTTATTTTGTATTTATTTCACAAAGAAAGTATTTACAAGTTTAGTAGCAATCTCGTACCCAGAGATTGAGTTAGTTGTCCAACGGAAATTGTTAGCAAAATGCAATCCACATTTGCAAAATGCACAACTGTACCAAAATGAAACGTGTCCCAAGATAGCTCATCCTCGTTTTCAGGGCTACACAGCCTCGTTCCAGGTCTTTTCGCGCGGTGGTAAGTACATTTTGCGAATTGCGTTGAAATATGAGAAAGGCTGATTGGCATCAAACGTAATAAATCGCGCCTTCGTATAAGGATCGAGGAGGGGGTGTATGAGGGACCTGGACTCTATTGACATGTATTGTTCGAGACAAACCCTGAGTCAAACGATTTACAGCCTCTTCATAACTGGGGGGAGTTGTGTCGTCCGTTGCGGATGCCTGACGATGCAGTTCGGGCTGTCCACCACAGGCATAAGAACTCGTGGCCTGCCTAGATCTTTGTTCAACATTTGAGTCCACAGGTGGACTTGAAAAATAAGTTTCTACAACAGACTGTTCCCGATTTCTATCCACTTCCGACGTTTGAACAATTTCCGAATTTGATTGATGGTCTACTGTAGTTGTCTGCTCGTGGATAATGCGCACACGAATGACCGTCGGCTCACGATCGTTTCCCGAAGTCTCAAGTCTTGCGTCTAACTCTCGACGCCGTATACATATACATGTACATGTACGGTGACCTAACCCAAAAATCCAACTTCCAAATAGAAAAGCAGCCGTCAAACACCGCAGCGGTATCTCGAGTCCAAACAACATTACAATAAAGATGGCCGAATCAGTTCCTCGCACACGAGAACGTTATCGGAACTAACAGTAACGCAAATGATATCATTTGGAAAAATTCAATGAATGATTATATTTGTACTCGGAAAAAATCTTAATGACATTCATTAACTATAAAGTCGTTTTGACGTGCTTCTTGGAATTAGTTATTCAACGTGCACGATTCATTATACTATTACAAAGAGTTTTTAGTATTATTTTAATTCCAGTAGAAAGAGGTTTATAATTGTGCTATTTATTGCAGTACCCGGAAAGTATATGAAGGATTCAGCAAATTATGAAAGACTTTTATATCTGAAGCAGAAATATTTTAAATGTTACTAGGACACCATAAAACAAGCGCTCTGCCTCAGTGCCTCTGGTGGCCAGAAAGGCTTGAGATTTCCAAAAGTTGGAGAATTTCCATATATATGTTCGATATATAATGTAGGACTACACAATCGTATACAGCTCTTTCAATTAAGGTTGTCCACGAGCAAAGCGGAAAAGTCGAATACGAGCGCGAAAGGCTGCTGGGAATCGCTAACAAATTAATGAATTTTCAAAGCGGT